CTACATGGCAATAGTCATAATTGGACCAGGAGCATGTGTCATCTAATCTATACAAGGGGCTTCAATATTATGACTAGAGTTGTGTCATGGGGCAATAAGAGATAAGACATCGACATCAAGTGATGTCGCAATTGCAGGTGACTCAGCATGTCCACATACTGCTCTGATTGCGAGCGACACATCGATGTGGTTTTCGACCATTCGGCTGGCAATACCATTTGCTCCGAGTGTGGCCTTTGTTTCATGTCCTTCATTTTATTTTCTTTTCCCCTCTTTTTTCACCTCACAACCTAAAAAGAATAAAAGAAAAAGGCTTTTTCTTTTTCCCTCTATAATCAATCATCATTCAACTTATAACATCTCTTTACCCTGTAATCTACCAAAGCATGTTGAACTTGGATTACCACCACCGCCACCGACAACTGACCTTTTAACTGGCATCAATGAGAGAGAGAGAGAGAGAGAGTGCTCTGTTTCTCTAGTTAAATGGTGATGCAAGTCAATAAGAGGAAGATGACTATGACCGAAGAAGATGAAAAATATATAGAGATGAACCATGGTGTTTTTCCATTCTTTGCACCGAAGCATGGCACATTTATCCCCTCCTCAAATCCTCCCTCTGTTTTGCTCTCTCGTCCCTTGTCCACTTTCATAGCTGCCAAGCCTTCTTCTGGAATAAGATCCTCTCGGCTGACAACTCAGCAAACTTTGAAGATCATAAACCTTCATTCAAATGCCTCTCTCTTTAGGTGAAAAAGGAGGTGGAGACAGGGGGAATCGTGAGCGATGGAAAGGTCATGGAGGTGAGGAGAGAGTGTGAGATAAAGGAGAAGAACCTTCGCTTGCAAAGGTTACAACGGCGGCAACAACGACTTTGTTGACAGTCCACTATGTGCAAAGGAGGTGAAGGGAGGGAGAGGATAGAGAAGAACCACTAATTCCAACAAGCATTTTTTGAATTTTTTTAAAAAAAGTATTGGTCATGTGATGTCATATGTGACGGAGTGTGACAACAAGTTAATGGTAGGGGAGGTTTTAGATAATTGCCAACAAACTTAGGGGTACTATAAGATAATATGCAAACTATAACGGTAGAGTTATCAATTAGCTAAACCGTAAGGGTAGTTTAAGAAATTTTCTCGATAAATTTTGACCTTGTGTTTTGATGATAACAAACTTTTTGAAGTACTAACAATTTGAAAGACAAGTGTGAAGTTTTATTAGATGTTTTCTTGGTTGAACTTGAAAGATGTGATGAAATCAGTACTGATCTAAGACACAAAGAAAGTTATATCAAATAATGGATTGAATACTCTCAAAGCAAAAAGAATTATTACCATGTACAAGAAGAAGAAGAAGGAAACACCAAGCTCCAAATACTTGTCTTATTTATTCTTGACTTGATGTAATTAGTTGCAATATGTATTACAATGAGGTTAACTCAAACCTACACCAATTATAAATATAGGTTCTTAGTTTTTTTTTTTTTTTTTTCCGAATTCAACATTTAACTTAATTGTGAAAATTTGAAGTTTATAGGCCTAAGAAGATGATTCTCATGCACTAGGAGTCTACGTACGTTGGATAATGGTAATAGTTGACTACCCTTGATAGGTTAAGACTAGTGTAACTCAATAGTCCATTATCCAAWAGCTAATTATCCATGAGCTAATAGTCAACTACCAATAACAACAACGTTAAGGTAAGCAATTGACTATTGGAGCTTAACAATCAACTACTTCACATGATTTCTTTTTTGATCATTTAAGCTACAATATTTGTTTCCTCTTTGGGAAAGGTTTGAAATTTAAAAAAGACATCTCTAAGGGTTTTGAATTGAGATTTGATTAATCTCCATAGGATTAAAAATGGTTGTATATTACTCTAAATATAAAAATTTGTGAGAATAGGGGGGGGGGGAATTGAAGGGATGAGAGATCCATCATATGGATGGCCGAACCCTATAGGAAGGTTGGGCAAAATTTCAAAAATTTTTCTCTCCCTCATYTGGGAATCGCATTCCCTATTTTAGAAAACTGTATTTTCAAAAATTAATCTTGAACCAAACCAGACCAGATCTGAAACCAAAAGGGAGGTGAGGGATATACCAAATACGGAGTAACAATAACTCTTAATGAAGGTGTTCACGCCCAAGGAAAAAACCAAAACCTGCTTCCACTAAAGATGACACAATGCGAGGTGAAACAGTATTAACATGACGACTCTTCAGTAAGAACCGAATTCTTCAATGATAATGGAGTAGAGGGCTGGTGAGCACGACTTCAGATTGCTTCTTCTGCCAAGAAGCAATATCAAGAACAACTATTGATCACTCCCATAAGTAAAGATCGAACTGGGTTGGGGCGGCAATAACAGGGAAGAACTCTGCTATTTATTGTGTCTTTTCTAGGTTCTTTTGCATGTCCACTCTGCTTTCTTATTTATAACCCTAAAGAGACAACATCCTAATCTGATTAAGAGTTTCCTAATCCAAATCTTTAGTTGGATCTGGACTCTTTAAGTGATAAGGAAAATCCCTTATCTTATTTGCAGTTTAAGATCAGCTTAATCCTAATCAAATTAGGAGTTTCCTGATCCAAATATTTATTTGGATTTGGACTCTTTAAGTGGATAATACTTATCCTCTTATCCTTATCTGCTGATCCAAAACGCAGATCTGTCCCTATTTAATTAATCTAATTAACCCAATTCGAATTGGGCTTTAGGCCCAATAAGTTTATGTGCTCACTTAACCTCTTAACCTGTTACCCAGTTGACTCTCTTTGTATGGCGTGGGACCCAAATATTGATATATACATTAACCACATGGGTTCAATCCAGTCTTTGTTACAAGGCCTGACCGAATTCACTGTAAGAGACAGTGAACCCTGAGCCCATCACTAAGAAATCTTAATGTGCCCAACATTTACACTAAATGGTCAATGGGTCCAGTCACCTTATGAAAACACAAGGACTGTGGGCATAYGCAAGATTATCCCATCAGGTATTACCCTCAATGGTCTTACACTTAACTTCTCAACCCATAATGATTAAACACTGTCCGACAAGAGATGACCTCTCCCTCGACTGCAAGGAAYARTAATGCACTTTCTATTCACATGGATCCCGAGAATTAAAAACTTTTGCAAAGCATTTTGAAACCATGATATATATATATTTTGCAAAAACAAAGTTCAACGGTTGAAATCAACTACCGGCAGTTTAGGTTTCCATCAGAGAGAGTGCATCCCCGATCATTCACTTTGTCCGACAAATGGGCCAATCTTATCACTATGATCACCCATTTAGATGAATTCTCGGACTATCCCAACATACTTAGGTTTTGACCCCCTCTAAGGATCTCACTGATTGGCACATCAAAGACAACCCAATTCGGCATATAGTGCAATACCATTATCGAGTCTAAGGGTCAGGTGTAACATTATAGTTTTGTCCATCTATCTCCAAGGTTCAGGGCAATACTGGAATTTTGGTTCGGTTYAGGGTTTCAAGAAAACCCACACTGCATGTACCTCAAGTCTCAGTCTGACAGCTGAGACAAGCCACCCCAACCAACTTGGCGGTACATCAGTGTCAGCCTTGGTAGGATAAATCTCTCCCCAGATCTATCAAACGACTGTGAAGCTTCTAAACTAACACGAGTCTCATAAGTGTATAGTTTAAGGGTATTACACAAAAACATAGCACAATGACATGAATAAATTATGTACTTTATTCATTTACAATAAATGATATAATGTACATCAAACTGAATGGAGCTAAGAGCATACATTGTCTAACAGCTCCCACCTGCACTTAGGTCCAATCGGGTACAAGTTAGAGTCTCGTACTTTCTACGTGTTTCTCAAATACTTTCATTGCTAGAGGTTTAGTTAATGGGTCAGCTACATTTTCCGTTGATGCTACTTTCTGAATTAGAATGTCACATTTTCCAATTATCTCCCGCAGTACATCAAACATTTTCTGTTTCCTCTTCTGAATCAGGGAGAGAAATTATATTATTTGAAAGACATCACACATAACACATGCTCACCTACAATAAGATTCTATATAACGAAAAGGGAAATAAATAAATAAATAAAAATATATATATATATATATATATATAAGATGGGAACAGGAAAGAGTTTTCCCCCCTAAAATATGGGATTAGACAAGGAGATCCATTATCTCCTTATCTATTATTCATCATAAATATGCAGATTCTATCATACCTTATAAATGAATAGGAGTAGAAAGGGAATATCAAAGGAATCCAATTATGTAAAGGGCGCACCCCCATCTCTTATATGCTATTTGCATACCATTGTCTGCTAGTATGCAAGGCTGACATCAACCAAGCCAAGAGTGCCTTAGAAATCCTAAAAATGTTTGAGGAAATCTAAGGGTAGAAGATAGATTTCACAAAAATTGGATTTCAGTTCCGAGGAAATCTCTCCAAAGAATCCTACGTATGAAGCAGTTACAGAATGAGGGAAGAGATTTGGGGACAAAACTAAACTTTGACACATCGATCCGTAACTAACACACTAATATACTGGATGACGTTTATTACAAAATGCCGCACCAGTTTGTTCAAGAAAGGAAAACCAAACTATTTAATACCCGATTGCAATCCGAATTCGATTCGATCCGATTCGAGTTCAGATATAAAAACAAATCAAAATTTGGATTCACCAATCTCCGATTCGATTCAATCCGTTTGCAACGGCGTAGTTAAGCTATTTCCGCGGGAAAATTAGAAAGAAGCAGACCAGAAAGGCAGAAACATACCCGCCTCTTATGAACGTTGATTTATAGTTAAGCTATTTTTTTTTTTAATATTTCTTGCAATATTCATATTTTGTACTTAGTGGCTCCTCACATAAGGTTATTCTTTCTCCGTCAGATTGGAATCTATTGTACGCACATACCCTATACAAGACGAATCCAATGGCAAAAAGTTCATTTTTATCTGAAGGCTCTCTTATTAAGTCGTATGTACCAACTAGAAGCCTTCTCAAAGGCGGGAACAACGTCCGTCATTCCCTCCATCTCTCTCTCTCTCTCTCTCTCTCTCTCTCTCTCTCTCTCTCTCAGATCACGTTTTTCCTACGAAGCCCTTTGCTGAAATCCCCAATTTCTCTCAAAACCCTAGCAACCATTGCAGAAATTAACCCCCTCTCTCTCTCTTGCGTGGCTTTATTCTTGCGTTTCCAATGGAGAAACCAGTCGAGGAAGTTGCCGTCGTCGATGCCGACGGCGAAGGGGCAAATCTCCAGCATTCTGAGAAAAGACCTGTTCGTCATCGACTGATTCAGTCAACACTGTTCGGGCACCGGCCTCAACCTAACAAAGTGGAAGAGGAGGAGATACAAGCAGTAGAAGTGGAAGATGATGAAGAGGGAGATGAAGGCGAGGAATACTGTGGGAGGTCGAGAAAGGGTAAGAGTAAGAGGAAGAGGAACGCAACGGGTCAACAGAGAGCTGCTAATAAGGTGAAAGTTAGGTTATTTTTGTCATAGTTCTGCTTAAATTTGTCAATATTTTTGATAAACTTAAGAATTCCTTTAATGCACCCCTCCAGATTTGCTTATAATGGTTCTTTTGGGTATAATTTCTAAGGTAAATATTGTGTTGCTCAACCGAGAGTAAAAAGTTCTTGGGGGAGAGGTAGGTGGGGGTATAGTTTATACTTATACGGTTATACCTTCAAGATAGGGATCGAATTGGTAAGCATTGGGGCGCCCATGGTGTCGTAACCAGGCTTGGAGCGAAGAGACTTCTCACAATAGAGTAATGAGTATTGATGTAGCGCAATCCGGCTGCTCCCTGCTGGAGATGATTTTGCTACCAGCAACGACTGGAATTGAGGAACCTCGAAGAGATGAATCAGAGAACCCGGGTGGCTTACCCGGCGAGGTCAAGATGGTTAAGTTAGCACTTAGTTGTGAGCTTGAAGATGATATCAGATTATGAGAGAACTAGAGAGTAGAGATTACACATCTTTTTTCTTACCTTCGCCCCTGGGGGGTGAGGTCTTTATATACCGGAGTCCTCGCGCGTTTGGTGGAGTAGTTCCTGGATCCCCGCTGTGATGGGATCCGTTTCCGTGTTAGGTGGGGATAACGGCACCAACCGATAAGGTTGTCCATTCCCGCCTGAATCGGGGAGTGGGTGAGCTAATATAGCCGTTACAAGGTACGATCCTGTAAGACGCGGGGTACGATGGTGAGATCCTTGGAATTATCTTGCGGTGGTCGGTCTGACTAGGAGGCGAGCTGCCCGTAAGGTGCCAGGCTGCATGGTGGCGAGCTGCCTGTGAAGTGCCGGGTTGCTTGGTGGCGAGCTACTTGTGAGGTGGCGAGCTGCCTGTGGAGTGTCGGGCTGCTTGGTGGCGAGCTGCCTGTGAGGTGCCGAGCTGCACCTAGTTGTCATGAGGGTGCCATGTGCCATAATGTCATTGGAGGGCCAAATCCGCTCTCATCAAGTATCGACCACTCATCACATCCTGTTTACTGCCTTAAGGATCATGGTGGAACGTGGAGGTATAGTTTACATTTAGTGATGTGTATGTAGAATGCTTTGGATGGCTAGTAACTGGTAAATGCAGATTCCAGAAAAGAGCTTCAATAAAACATTTATGTTGGAAGTAGAAAAGCGGGACAAATTTGGTGGATAATTGAATGGCTGGCTGGGTCCCTCCTTGCCTTCACATATTCTGCAGGGGTTGCTTGTAAGAACCATACAATGAACACTGAAAGTAGCAAGTTCCAGAATCCTTATACCCTAATCCAGAAACAGCCATTGATAAAAAAAAAATCCAGAAACAGCCTTACTGTTTGCTTTGTACCATCAGTTATGACCTGCATTTTCACAAGATGGTTACTTTAATTAATGCTTGGAATGTTAGCTGTCAAAATAAAGGGTCATGTATGAATTGTTTAGGTGAACTTGAATTCAAGTCAAGTAATGGCCTACAGAAAAGAAAAAGAATAAAAGACTAGGCCCTTTAATTTACAGAAGTAGCATTGGTGTATTATCCTTTTTGCAGATGTATTGATGCAAAGGTTCACATGAGTAGCACTAGATCAATTTCCTTAGCACTCTAACAAGTTCAATAAAACTGGTTTCTTTTATTTAGTATTTCTGTCTTTGCTTTCTTTCTAAATTTTCCATGACGATAAAAAGAGTTCGGTACAATTTCAGTTAAAGTTGGAATGTAACTTCTGTAGTTTCTTTTCTTTTTTGATATCGTTTGGAATCTCCTATCTAGTCATGAGACAACTATGACCTATAAAAAATCACGAGACAACTAAATAATAGTATCTTGATTGCATATTACCATCCTAAAATGTATGAGAGTTACATTATCTACTATTAAGCCCATACTTTGGTAAATAGATTAAGCATATTGATGTGGATTGTGGGCATMAAGGTGGTCTTCAAATCAACTTTAAGAGCATTATGGATTTTTGAGTAATTTTCTGGTTCAGTGGTATTTTGGTAAATCTACTTAATGTTAGTGATCTAGTCTGATAGTTATATTATTTGAGTCTCATTTATGTTTTGTATAAAGTTTCATAGTCATAGGATAAGTAGAATAGGAATTACAGATAAGGTAGTGATAAAGGGGTTCGGCGTTGGAGTGAAGATGGGGTCTTTTTCAGTTAAATCTTTCTATAACAAGATGATTGTGTGTACCCAGGGAGAGTAATTTTCCTTGGGATAGGATTTGGAGTACGGTTGCTCTTGCTAAGGTTGCTTTTCTGCAACAGACTGTTACTCTTAACAAGTATACGACTGCTGATAATTTGATGGAGAGGGGCTGTGTTGTAGATAATGCTATTTGTAATTTTTGTGACGAGGACCTGGAAACAGTGAATCTCATTTTTCTGCACTGCAGTTTTGTTAGAAGGTTGTGGGCAAGGTTGCTTGACATTTTTGGGGTTCAATGGCATTTTCCAGAGAATGTGGTGGATGCCTTAAGAAGCTGGCACCTCTCTGGCTGAGTAGGAAAGGAAAGGTAATTTGGGGAATCGTGCCTTTAGCCATAGTGTGGACTGTGTTTGGAAAGAAAAACTAGAACGACTAATGGGTAAAGGCTCTATGGGGTAGAATCAACTATTGGGTAGCAGTACACAGATATTTTTGGAAGCATGTGCTATAGTTCTGTTTTTGCTTATAATACTCATTTCTAACTACCAAAGAACAAATTGATGTACAGGATTTTTGAGTTGCACAACTCCTTGCCGTGCTGGTATTATTAGTGGTTGTATATAAGTAGAATAGGAATTATGATGTTTTCTTTGGGCTGAAACTTGCTAGTGGCAACTCTGTTGAACAGTGAGCGGAGCCCTATATCTCTATATAATTATATTTATATGTATTATAAGCCGTGTTTGAAGGAGAGAATGAATTGAAGAGTTTTTCCATCTTTTCTCCCTTTTTCTTTTTATATATTCTTTCTTCTTCTCTTCCAATTCTCTATTACAAGTTCAATTAAATGTTCTTGTTAACATCTCTTTTAGCTCTAAACAAGGCTTAATATCACTCCTCTCCATACAGCCTAAGTTTCTCCTTTTCTTTTTTAATTTCCATATTTTTAACATTTTCTACTCCTTTTCTCCTTGGAATTTTGGTCTTTTTTTGATCAATAACGAAGGCAAAATATTATTAAAACAAATATTAAGTACAAGAATAGAGTGAGAGGGGAAGGGATAAACTCTCTTAGCTCCTCCCTAAATGAATTACATCATAGCCCAAAATAAAATGTTCCTTGGTCTTTGTGTATAAAATTAGTCCAAATCCCTCTCAAGTTTAGTTGCTCTTCATTTTTCTCCATTATAGTTCATCCTACAAAGTTTCTATCCAAAATCCCAACTAAAACCTTAATTTTTAGAAAATTTGGGTTTTCTTTCATGACGAAGGATGTTGGCCTTTTGTGCCCAAACTACCCATAACTTTCAAATTAAATTACCTAAATTACATTAATAAATATACTTTCTTGGTTCTTGCAAATTCCACTTTTTATTGCTTCATTTTTTTTTGTACTCATGGCCCGATGGCCTCATTTGGCTATACAAAATGGGGGGTAGTCCATCCCCATACCCATAAACCCCCAACCCAGGTGGCGATGGGATTTGATCCCAAATTTCTGCTTCCACCAGGTAGAGATCCCACCAATTGCTCCATCATTTGTTGAGTTTGGATATGCTACCAACATGTCCCAATTGGCAATTGCATTTGCATATTGGGAACGTCTCCCCACGAATGACAAGGGAGATGTTCCCAGTGTACAATTGTAGTGGCCTATTGGGACACTGTTGGTAGCAGGTCCCTACTCCCATTAGTTGGTATTCTGTCAAATTCTATTGATCCAAGGAGAAATTGATTAATTGTTCAATTTGACCTAGAAACCTTTAGATAGCTCCACTAAACTTCCCACAAAGCTGCAATTTACCCTATTGAGTCATTACTTTAAATTTTCAGTCACTCGCTCCCTTAGGACTACTGTCCTACATCACATACCTCGAAAGCGCCAAAAGAATATGCAMTTGAAGCTATTGAAAATTGACTATACCTTCGGGATTTGAGAAACTGAGAATGGAATCCGTAAACATGTTTAAGACCATATATAGAGCATTTATTGAAGCTAGGATCCTTGGATAAAAGTTACAAAAGATGGATATTAGAAAAAGATGCTTAAAACTTTGAAACCCATGGGAGCATTTGGTAGAGAATCACCAAGCCATGGTTTTTAGCTTGGATGCTGAATTGATAATTTGTAAATTGTCTCATGAAGTTTATTTGATTAGCAATACCATGAAACCTCTACTTCATAAGTTGGACAAACTTAAGGGAGTTTTGGCCAACGAGTGCCAATAAATCAGCACAAATACTATTTCCATTTGTTTTATTTTCCTTATGGTTACAATAGCTTAGTCTTGGTTATTGGAAAAAAGAAGAGATAAGTCATAGTTAACAAAGGTTTTAATGTAATAATGCCCTTGTAATTCTCTTTTTTCCTAGTATATTCTCAATTAGGACACTAAAAATGCAATCCTCGAACAGTTGATTGTGGAAGGTGGGGATGAGCATTGGGCCAAGTCTTACTAGCTGAGTTTAGTTTGGAACAAGCCCAAACTTGGGCTTTAGGCTTCGGTTTAATCTCCATACTCAGACCAAGGTGCTGAGCCTGAGCTTGGTTGGAGGTAATACTCTAGGTCTCATGTTGAACTTGGATGAAATTAAAGTTGTAATTAAATGCTAAAAGAACTTGAATCTTCTTTTCTTTCAATGCGCCTTATATTCAAATCTAGGGCTGATAAGCATGAGAAAGTGAATTTAAGTCCGAGAGCAGCCATGTAATGTTGTGCTGCAAAACATACCACAGGTTAGGTTCATATCCAGTCTATCCCTTCCAAACCCTAGATGGCCAGGGCTATCACTGGGTAGTGACCCTTATATATTTATGGGATTTTTGGCTTTGACAACC